AGTGCTCTTAACCACTGGCCATCTCTTCATCCTGTAGATGGAACTCATAGATTTCCTATGATTTGTGGGAAATGTGAAATTGTTGGAGACGTGTGTGAACCCTATCATTCATCCCTTTCATCTTGTGGTTTGGATTTTCTGGATCTCAAGCCTCTCAGTTATTAATGACCTTATGGCTTGTGTTCAGTGAACTGGTGATCAAAAGGGGAGTTTCAGAGTCTTGTGTGCTGCTTACTTCCTGAGTCTTGATGAGCCTCCTTCTAGAATGGAATGAAAATTTTCTGATTTTCTGTTTTTAAATGGAATATCTTTTATTTATTTTTATTTATTCTTTCACAAATTCATAAATGTAAACAATGCATTTTGAGTATATGCACCTCCTCTCTCCCTCCAGGAATCCCAGATTCCCCCAGGAACCATCAACAAGTCACCCTTTTCTCTTTGTGCCCTTTTGTTTTCTTTTGGGGGGGGGGCTTGGGGGTCAATAACTTACTGAGTCCAATTAGTGTTGTCTGCTGGGATGCTGAGTTGATCTTGTGCAGGTACTCATAGCTACAGTGAATATATGGGTACAGTGGTCATGTCATGTTTCAAAGACATCATTAGAGAGTACTCTTCCCTACCCCTCCAGCCCCTTAGTCTTTTCATACTTCTGTGATGTTCCCTGTGCTTTGGGGAAGTTGATATAGATATCCTGTTTAGGCTTAGACACTTTGAAAAGTTATGAGTTTTTGCTTAACTGCTGACTACTACTGAGAGCAGCTTCTCTGGTCAAGGTTAGAGGCAGAATTAATTTATAGTCATAGGCATGAATAACAATAATAGCTTCCTTCCAAGGACTTGTAACCTTCTGAACCAAGAGTGTTTAACCAGGTTTATATTTGCATCTGAATTTCTGTAGGACAGGCCAAAGATCCAGTTTAAAAGCAGTTGGTTACTCTGTAACCTTTATGCCACTATTGTACCAGTGAGCCTGGCAGGAAGATATTGTAGCATGCAGGACTGGCTGGAGAAATACTGTTGATGTATTTTCTCCCACTGTGATCTGCATAGCACCTTCCAGCATGATGAAAGTTAGCACTTCCTGAGTCTTGAACCTCCCTTCAGCATGGAATCTGTCAACTTGGTAGAAATTGCTATACAATACTCTATGCCTTCCTGCAGCTCTTAGATTATATCTGCCTCCTCTTCTGAACTCAGAGGAGGTAGTATGTAAATACATACATGTAAGACAAAGTATTAGGCCACTATGTCTCAGCAAAAACTACTTAATTCTCAGGAGTACACCAGTAGTTATGAATCTGGTACATTTATGGAACTTCTTTTTAACTCCTGAGACTTAAGGCATCTCCCTCCAGGATGAAAGATTTTAATTTGGAAGAAATTGTAGTGCTGAAGGACAGATCAGACACAAGAAATGAGCCACATATGTGGATGATGCCAGAGTCCTCATTGGATACCTCATTTAGAAGAATATTTCCTGAGGAAGAGGATGCGACTTTTTCTTGCTTCCTGAGTTTCCTATGTGAAGCTCTTGAATGAGTATGTGAAGGAGAATGTATGTGGGTAAAGGAATAGAGTGACTGGAGAAAATACCACAGGTAGGGAGTGAGGTGATTTCAGAAAAAGGTAGCCATTTAGTCATGGGTTATAGCAGGCTGTCCTCCTTTTTTCTTCATCTTAAGTTCTCATCAGAGAGTTGCTTTTGTCAGTGTCTGTATAAGGAAGGTTTTCTGTAGGAAGCCAAACAAAATGCTTTAGTTTGTATGTGCCTTGATGGGAGACAATGAACTGAAATCATACTCCTAAATCCTTTAGGTCTTGTTGGAGAGACATCTCAGCAAGGTGCCATCAGTTGAATTGAGAAGGCAAGGGAGGCAAGAAGAGAGTTCTTGTGATAGTTGGAATGAGAATGGGCCCATGGGCTCATATATTTAAATGGTTAGTTACCAAGGAGTGGAACTATTTGAGAAAGGTTAGAAGGGTTAGAAAGTGTGGCCTTATTGGAGGAAGTATGTCACTGGAGGTGGGCTTTGAGGTTTCAGAAGGCCACACCAGGACTGCCTCTCCCTGACTGCTGCCTGAAGATTAGGATGTAAAGTTTTCAGCTACTGCTCTCTCTACCTGTCACCATGCATCTTGCCATGATGATAATGGACTCATCCTCTCAAACTCTAAACAAGGCCCAATTAAATGCTTTCTTTTAGAAGAGTTACTTTGGTCATGGTATCTCTCCACGGCAATGGAACAGTAACAAAGAGAGTCCCAAGATAAGCCATCATACTACTATGTAAGTGTATGGAATGATAACACAGACAAATAAAGATAATTTACCAAGACATAAAGAGACAAAGAATTCATTGAAATACTTCATGGAAGCAGCAGGTGTGTTCCCAGAGATGGGAGTATACCAATGAAAAGAAGTGGATTTTTTTGATAAGAGTCAAAAGGAAAGTAGAGGCAAGAGGATCTCTGTGAGTTCAAGACCAACCTGGGCTACATAGAGAGTTCTAGGGCTATATATAGAGATCCTATCTCTAGAAAGAGAAAAATGTCAAGGGGGAAGTGATTTGGTCTTAGCTTGTCGAGTATGTATATAGGCAGATGCGTAGTCAATGACATGATATCTTGTTGAGTAGTAAAATTTACAGCGTAAGTTGTTTTTCTTCAGACTTTCCTTTTGTATATTAAGTTACTAAACGTTAGTTTCCAATTGGTGGCCTGATAAATTCTGAGAATTTGATTTTACTTTTGGCTCTTTGTGTCTGCAATGTGTTTGAAATATCTTTCATCTTTGTTAGACAAGTCATCATACTATTGTTCAGAAGACTTTGACAATTGCTAGACACTTGTTTGAAAACGTAGATTTTGGTGACTACTAAGAATCTGAGTTAAGATTTTTATAAAGTTAAAATTTAGAAGAGCTGGCATTTTAGTGACACTGTCTTCATGTTTCTCTTCTCATTCTCCCTCCTGAGACAGGAATCTTTACAGGTAAGCTTTGAGCTCCTGGATCAAGTGATCCTACATCCCAGGTTCTCCAGTACCTGGAACTACAGCATGTAACATACCCAACTACTTTGAGTTCTTGTAAAAACATGCACCATCTGATTGTTCTATTTCCTTTGATGTTTACTGAATGGATATTAGAAAGTTGCTCTCTATTAGTGCAACTTAGGGAACATGACCAAAGAAGGGTTATAAAGAATGTAGGAGCCGGAGTGTGCGGAGGAGAGCTGTGGAATGCTATCTTCTAGGTATAACACGGATTCATGAACTCATAGCATCTATGGTTATTTATATAATACCTACATAACATCAAGCCAGTCAATAATTTTAGCATGAAATCTTTGACCAATGAGGCTCAGCTCACTAAGGAACTATTGTCAATTGATAGCTGCTAGAGGAAAGGATGAATTTTTCTTTCAGTATATGGCCACTAGTAAGTTGTTGATATACATTCAGGTAGCACTAATTGGACTTAGTGGGTAACAAAAACAAAAAGAAAAACAAAGGCTAGAGAGCTGGCCCAGAGCAATTTTGCTCTTACAGAGGACAGAGGTTTGGTTCCTAACACTCACATGGTAGCTGTCCAAAACTTCAGTTCCAGAGGATCTGATGCTCTCCTCTGATATCTGTGGTAAATACACATAGTCAAAATATCCATACACATAAAATTAGAATAAATAAATCTTTAAAAGCAAAACAAAAAAATAAAGAGAACATGAAGATAGGAGGGGCATGTGTTGGGAAGAGGGGTACAGAGGGAGTGGAAGAGGTAGTTGCGGGTAAATATGACCAATACATACTATATTTATATGTGGAATTATCATGGACTATATGAAAATTTTAAAAATTGTTCTTTTGAGATAATTACTGATTACTTCTCATTTATTGCTTTATTAAATTTAGCTGAGTGTATCCTGCTTTTGAGATTTTAATGTTTCCTTTGATATAGTCACAACACATTTGCAGTTCCCCATTTAACAAGTTTTGACAACTTGTTAGCCTAAGTGTATTGTGTAGATGGGTTCTTTCATTATTGCTGTGTATTGAACATTCAGAAAGACAACATGCTAAATGTTTCCCTAAATCATTTAGACTAAGTGACTAGTATTACCATTTCTGTTTGTAATGTCTCCTAGAATCTTAGGTGCACTTACTTATATCAGTAAAACTCCTATTTGTGCTTAGGAAGTGCTAAGAAAAAGCAACCACTTGACTGTATTCTATTTTGTACATTATATATAGTATGTAACTTTGTGTTGTGACATGGGTGTGTAGGTTCATGCAGATCCATGGAATAAAGACTCAAAGGCATCTTAAGAATGAATATAGCCTTTCATGGATGCAGGGGGTTCCAGCCTTGAAGGACTAAAGCACTATCCCTTCACCTATGGCATTTTTATTTCTTTCCATTACAGTTTAGCCAATTAATTTCTGTACTTTCAAAGCACCCTAAAAATAACTCCCAGAGACCAAATGCCAAGTGCAAATTACTTGATTTATTAGGTACCATGGTCTTCCGCATTTCCTGAACCAAGTTTTGCATAGGCCTTTGATCCTTGGAGGACTATCTGATCCTTGACTTTCAGACAAGATTCACCTAGGGCGATAAGAGAAACAAAAGGTAAGAGAAACAAAAGTTGTGGTTAAACAAAGGAAGGATTAGGGCTAGGTGCTACTTCTCTGGAACCAGGCCAGGAGCTCAACAGAAATGCACTACAATGGTAGGACTTTGTTATCACAGGTATTAAATAATCCATTCTAGAATAAGAAATTGAGGTATCCCAGTAGCACACTCCAACCCTTGGATGTAGAAATGAGAGGAATGTTCCTACTTCACCATTTCCTGCCTAAATATGTCATTTGTAGCATTAGAACTTCTCTGTCATTGAATAAACATATAGAGACTGCAGAATTACACAAACATCTTATCAGTTATCCATAGTACTGTCAGTTTCACCCATTTTCTTATGCATGCATATGGGATATTTTAGGACTCAGTGACGTTTGGGGATGTGGCTGTTAACTTCACCCAGGAAGAGTGGACTTTGCTGGATCCTTTTCAGAAGAACCTATACATTAATGTGATGCTGGAAACCTGCAGTAACCTTGTTTCTGTGGGTAAGAATTTTGACATTCCTTTACTTGGTCAATTAGACAAGTGTTCCTTCATTCTATAATTTGGAATGTGGAAAGGGAAGAATTATGTGACAGGCATGAGTACAATGTGCATTAACCCTAGAAACTTAGGGATTTTTTTTGTAGTTTCTAATAATTTATAAAAAATTTTCTGCATCTTCATTTTAGGAATCAAATCAGAATACCAGACCATTGAAGAGCAGTATAAACATCCTGGGAGAAATCTAAGGTAAATTACATGCATTAGTGGGAGAAAATATCTTTTGAGAGAATCTTAATATGTTATGAAAATTTATGAATAAAGTAAGCAAAGCAAACACAAATTTAAATTATTCGCCATTAGAATAATTTCACAAAGATATGTAATTCCATGTAAGAAAGCTGTTTAGATTTGAAAAACAATTCACTTGGAAACAGTACTGAGAAAAGTGTATGTATGACCTTTTCTGTTCTAATAATAGCTTTAAGAGTCATATTGCAGAATCATTAATCCATTTAGTTTGAGAACAATTAAATACTACAGAAGGCATGCTTTCTATGATTTAGGGAATAGTGGACCTACTAATGACTAAATAGTCATTATTGAAGTAACCACTAGTAATGTGCCTGTCAGTGTTTACACAAGTCAAATGCTACATTTGATCTATGAGAGTAAAGAAGATAATCCATTTAGAGAAACCTCCAAAATATCAAATATCAATAGAAGTCCAGAAATTTCTACTTGAGTGGAACTATGTAAATGTAATTTGTATGGGAAAATTTTCATGTATCATTAATCCTTTAATAGGAGCATCATATCTAACCTTGGATATACACATAAGTTTGAGGAATATGGAAAGAAGCAGTATAACTCCAATTCTCTCACAACTATTCACATGTACATGGGAGCCCACACTGTGAGTGGAACTTATGAATATGAGGTATATTCAAAATCCTTTGGTTTTCTGAGTTCATGTGGAATATATCAGCAAATTCACAGTGGAGAACAGCCTCATGAGTACAATCAATATGAAACAGCCTTTATTTGTCCCAGTTCATTTTGCATTCATGGAGGAACTCACATCAAAGACAAACTTTCTGGATGTAAATCATGTAATACCACTCTAAGTTCTTTCAATTACCTGCCATTTCACAGTGGAACTCCTAATGGAGAAGAGCATTCTGATTGTACACAGTGTGGTAAAGCTTTCAGATGTCAAAATTCCCTTCAAAGACATGAAATAATTTATACAGGGGAAAAAACATATGAATGTAAGCAGTGTGGTAAAGCATTCCAAGGTAACAATTCCCTTCAAAGACATGAAATAATTCATGCTGCAGAAAAACCATATGAATGTAAACAATGTGGTAAGTCATTCATTTATTTTTATTTACTTAAAATGCATGAAAGGTATCATACTGGAGAGAAACTTTATAAATGTAAGATACGTAGTAAAGCATTTCTTTGTTCCTCTTTTCTGAAAAGACACAAAAGAACCCACACAGGAGAAAAACACTATAAATGTAAGCAATGTGCTAAGCCCTTTAGAGGTCTCAGTAATCTTAGAGTACATGAAAGAACTCTTACTGGAGAAAAACCCTATGAATGTAAACAATGTGGTAAAGCTCTGAGAAGCCACAGTTCCCTTCAAAGACATAAAATAGCTCATGGTGGGGAGAAACCCTATAAATGTAAACAGTGTGGTAAGTCCTTCATTTATCCCTATTTACTTCAAACCCATGAAAGATCTCATACTGGAGAGAAACCCTACAAATGTAACATATGTAGTAAAACTTTTCGTTGTTCTTCTTTCCTGCAAAGACATGAAAGAACTCATACAGGGGAAAAATCCTACAAGTGTAAGCAATGTGGTAAAACTTTCACAGGTCATAGTTCCCTTCGATTACATGCAAGGTCTCACAGTGGGGAGAAACCATATAAATGTAATATTTGTAGTAAAGCCTTTCTATGTCCTTCTTTCCTCCAAAGACATGAAAGAACTCACACCAGGGAAAAGCTCTATGAATGCAAGGAGTGCAGCAAAACCTTCAAAGGTCAGAGTTCTCTTCAGTTACATGAACGATCCCACACTGGAGAGAAACCCTATAAATGTAAGATCTGTAGTAAAGCCTTTCTATGTTCCTCTTTCCTTCAAAGACATGAAAGGACTCACTGTGAAGCAAAACCCTATGCTTGTAAACAGTGTGGTAAAGACTTTAAAGATCAAAATTCCTTTCAAAGGCACAAAGTTTCTCATGTTGGGGAAAAACCTTATGAATGTAAACAGTGTGGTAAGTCCTTCATTTATCCATGTTTACTTCAAGTTCATGTAAGAACACACACTGGTGAGAAACCCTATGAATGTAAACAATGTGACAAAGCATTCAGAAGCCTGAGTTACCTTCATATACATGAAGGAAGTCATACTGAAGAAAAGCCCTATGAATGTAAACAGTGCGGTAAAACTCTCAGTTGTTCTAGTGCCCTACAGTTACATAAAAGAACACACACTGGAGAAAAGCCCTATGTGTGTAAACAGTGTGGAAAAGCCTTTAGGGATTTCAGTTACCTTCGAGTACATGAAAGGACTCACACTGGAGAAAAACCCTATGAATGTAAACAGTGTGGGAAAACTCTCAGTTGCTCAAGTTCCCTTCAACTACATGAAAGAACCCATACTGGAGAAAAACCTTATGAGTGTAAGCAGTGCGGTAAAGCCTTCAGAGGTCTCAGTCATCTTCGAGTACATGAAATAATTCACACTGGTAAAAAACCCCATGAATGTAAACTATGTGGTAAAGCCTTCAGATATCATAGTTTACTTCGAGTACATGAAAGAACCCACACTGGTGAAAAACCTTATGCTTGTAAACAATGTAGTAAAGCCTTCAAAAGTCTCAGTAATCTTCGAATACATGAAAAAACTCATAGTGGTTTCTATGAATGTAAACAATGTGGCAAAACCCTCAGTTCTTCCAATTCCCTTCAAGTACACGAAAGAGCACATACTGGAGAAAAATCTTATGAATGTAAACAATGTGGCAAAACCTTTAGACGTTTCAGTAATCTTCAGGCACATGAAAAAACTCATGCTAAAGGAAAACCCTATGAATGTAAACAATGTGGTAAGTCCTTCATTTATCAGTATTTACTTGAAAAACATGAGAAGTCTCATACTGCAGAAAAACCCTATAAGTGTACGATATGCAGTAAAGCCTTTATTTGCCCTTCTTTCCTTCAAAGACATGAAAGAATACATAGTGGGAAAATACCCTATGAATGTGTACAATGTGATAAAGCATTCAAAAGCCTCAGTTCCCTTCAATTACATGAAAAAGCTCATGCTAGAGAAAAGCATTATGACTGTACACAGTGTGGTAAAACCTTCAGATGTCACAGTCTCCTTCAGGCACATGAAAGAACCCATACTGGTGAAAAACCCTATGAATGTGAAGAATGTGGTAAAACCTTCAAAAGTGCTGGTTACCTTCGAATACATGAAAAAACTCATAGTGGTTTCTATGACTGTAAACAGTGTGGTAAAATTCTCAGTTGTTCAAGTTCTCTTCAATTACATGAAAGAACTCACACTGGAGAAAAACCCTACGAATGTAAACAGTGTGGTAAGGCCTTCAGAAGTCAAAGTTCCCTTCGAAGACATGAAAGAATTCATGCTGGAGAGAAACCCTATGAATGTAAACAGTGTGGTAAGTCCTTCATTTATCCATGCTACCTTCAAATGCATGAGCGGTCTCATACTGGAGAGAAACTCTATAAATGTAATATATGTAGTAAAGCCTTTCTTTATCCCTGTTTCCTTCAAATGCACGAAAGAACTCACACTGGTGAAAAACCTTACGAATGTAAGCAGTGTGATAAAGCCTTCCGAAGTCATAGTTCCCTTCAAATGCATGAAAAAATTCATACAGGAGAAAAACCCTATGAATGTAAACAGTGTGGTAAAGCTTTAATAAGTCATAGTTCTCTTCAGAGGCATAAAATCGCTCATGTTGGAGGAAAACGCTATGAATGAAAACAATGTAGTAAGTCCTTCATTTATCCATATTTACTTCAAATTCATGAAAGATCTCACACTGGAGAGAAACCCTATGAATGCAAATACTGTGGTAAAGCCTTTACATGTTACCGCTCCCTTCGAAGACATGGAAAAACGCATACCTAAGGAAAAACCCCTATGTATGCAAACAAACATGCAAGAATGTTGAGAATTTCTAGTTCTCTTCAAATATGTGGAAGTACTGGGAAAAGAGCTAATGAGTATAAAACAAATGAAGGCTTTAGGATTTGTTTGCTTGCTTGCTATGGAAAGCTTGAGAGGACTCACTGGAGAAAATTCCGCGAATTTAAGATATATCTTAAGATCTTTAGTTCCATTTGAAGACATCAAAATATCTGGTGTTAAACCACATGAATGAATGAAATATTCATTTCTCAAACATCTTCTCAAATACATAAGCTAATGTGCCATGAAGGTAGTCCTATAAAACAGGCATTGGGCTGAAACTGCTGCAGTTTGGAAAGTAAAAAAAAAGTAAAAGCTCATTTTAATTACATTAAAAATCATGTGATAACTCCAACTAGGAGAAGAATCTACAAATTTATGTGAACAGTGAAGCAAATCATGCTCAATGTGTCATAGCATGAATGAAAAGCTGTGTAATTTGTGAATGTCTAGTGTTTACCAGTGATTTGAGTTTGAAGAAGATCCCAGCAGCATCTGATTGTGAAGATCTGTACTCTTGGGTACTTTGGTTTTGAAGTAGGAGATAGTAAGTCCAAACTACTTAATGAGACCAATCTCAATAAAAATTGGAAAAGAGATAGGTAAGTAGCTCATTTGTTCAGCACTGGTCTTCTAGTTTGATTCCCACTCCCACCATCAAGAGAAGTAAGAAGGTCCCTAGGTGATGAATTTCTGCTTCTTTTGCAATAAAACATTGAGATGAAGATTTTCTAAGTGTAGACATGTACTTTTAGCAGCAGACATAATTGGTGATAAAGATTATTAGACAATGTCCTAATCATAGTGTATTCTTATAGTGTAGCCTACCATACACTTAAGCTATATGGTATGATTTCAAGACTCCTCTAGTCTATGGAATGTTACTTTATTGCATATTTTAGGCATGGTACCAGTAAATATGTGTCAAACAAATGATTTGGCATAAAAATAAATGTTCTACCAATGAAGAGCACTTATTGTGAGTCCAGTTTTTAGGACTAGATTTTGTTCTATCAGAGACTTTTAAGTGAATATAAAGTCATAGGACAAATTAATCTTCTGTAAACTTTATCAACACTATAGACTTAGTTGATAGTATATTAATGTTTTCTTAAAGAATAAATTTGCTTATAACTTTTTACACTGTATAATTTTAAAATTATACACATAATTATAAAAAATTTTCATTTTTGTAATACACTGCTTAAAATTTTATGATTATTTAAAACTATTTCTTTGTATGGTTATTCTATAATTTTTGCATTGTATTTTTTTAATTGTTTGTGAAAAAAGGTATCATTTAGAGCACTGATGCAGGAGGTTGGTGTTTGTAGCTATCACTGATTACATACTGAGAGACTGTATATATATATCTTTGGGTAACAGTACCTATTAACCTGGAATAACCAGGTCATAACAGCTTGTTACCTTGCACCTTCACATCTGTCATAGAAAGTTTTCAGGAACAGGAAAATGTGTAGAACTGATGACAGTTCTTTCTTCAGCAGTCCTTTGTGAGGGACCTGTTGAAGTTCTTGAGAAAGTCTCACTTTTCTGAAATAAATACATGGTAGTGTCCTTGAATGGTGTTTTTCACTGTTGACTTGTTATAAGCAGGTAATACACCATGAACATTTCTATGTTAATGGAAATCTTTTGGTATTGAGTTCAAGCTTTCAAAAGTATGAAGGATCTATTGAGGTGTATAATTGTTTCTGCTGATCCCTTTACTGAATTTTTCTGGGCTCTTACTTTCCTTCTATGGTTTCTTTATGATTGGAGACTTTTGAAATAGAACTAGCTGTTTTATCAGCTTGCCATAAGCCCAGTGGGACTGGGACAGTTTGTTTTGATTTGGATATGAAATTGTCCACAAAAAGTCTTGTGGTTGGACACAGATTTTTAGTCTGTGGCTCATGATTTCTTACTAGGTTGCAATAACTGAGGTTTAAAAAACAACTGGTAACATTTAAAAGTTTTGAACACAGTCATTAGAAGTTCAGACTTACATGTGCATTGATTCTCATATGTCTCTGACAACATTCATTCATGTTGCATCATGTGATTTAACTGTACCTCCACTTTGTTCTGTTCATGCAACAAGTATATTGCATGTGATGTCATGCCACAGAATGCCAAGTAACAGCTCCCCGAAGTACCTGAGCTCACACACAAGACCTGCTGAATGTTGCAATTTGAAATGCTTTTACTAAATAACCAGAGTTTTCTGCTCTTATGGAAATAGTGATTTAATTTTGGAAAACAGACTTTTCTATTTTCCTAGTGTCATTCATCAACATCTAAGTAATCTGTCTTTATATTGTATAGTATAGTGTGGCTTTAAAAATTGCTTGAGTTACTGACTTGTATTTTATTAAAAAATCATTCAGTGATTATTGGGTTGCAATAAAGAAAAATATTTTAACAACTTATGAAATGGTTCTAACTGTATTTCTGCCTTTTTCTACTGATTTACATGATGTTCTCCATATTTGACAACTATAAAGCCAAAGTATGAATTAACTCACAACAACCTTCTCTATATGCTGCATTATCAAATATTCAGCTAATATTTAATCTTTTATATAAAATAAATATGCCCATTTCATCAATATACAGATTTACTTTTATGTTAATAAATGATAAAATATTATATTCACCAAATTTTTAAGTATACTTATTTGATTTATTAGCAGTAAATGCATTATTTGAACATGCACTTTATACTTATACTATATATAATATATAATAATCCTATATACTATATATAATATATATAATCCTATATACTTAGGATTACATTATAATTTCTTACACGAAAAAAGTCACAAATAAAAAAAACAAATTAATCTGGTGGTCTCTAGCTTATGGCACTGTTTTAGGGGCTTTCCAAACCTTTGACAGGTATGGCCTAACTAAAGTTAAGTAGCTCCATGAAAATCAGGCTTTCAGAATTACAACCATGACCCAGTTCTTGGCTATCTTTCTCTGTTGTTGTACCATTAAGGTGAGGAGATACAGGCACATAGTCTGGCTACTATGGAGACATTGTCACATTGTTTTCATTCCAAGATAGTCTGTATCACTTTAAACCACATCAATAAATATTTCCATAAATCCATTAGTGTATTATTTTTGACAGGAGAGAGAGGGGGAGGAGGGAGAGGGAGAGGAAGAGAGAGAGAGAGAGAGAGAGAGAGAGAGAGAGAGAGAGAGAGAGAGAGAGAATATGAATACACCAGGAACTGATGGTGCATTGTAGAGATCTCCCACATACAATTTTCTTTCTGCATTGTTTATTTCTAGAGATTTTCATTTAGTTTAGGTTTCCTCTAGGTTTTTGGACCAGAGCAAAGGTTAGGTTTAGATTTTAGTTGCATTAGGGTTAGGAATTTAGGAGTTATAGGGTTGGGTTAAGGTAGTGTTAATAGGTAGTTAATGTGATAGTCTCCATTGTAATCTTTATGACATTTAGAATAGCTATGGAAACAAATCCCTCTGGGCATGTGTGCAAGGGATTCTTTAGACTGGGTTAACTGAAGTAGGAGTATCCACCCTAAAAGAAAAGTACCTTTTGAAAATGATGATATAGGAATCAGTGACTGACACCTGAAATGACTGTAGGAGGTATTGCCCTAACTCTCCAGTACTCCTCTTCCTTTGTTACTTGATTTTAATTAATTTTTAAAAATTAATTTTAAATGAATTGCTTATTTGGTAGGACAGTGCCCAGGCTTTCCTCATACCCACAGTGGTCTTCCTCCTTCTACATCCTGAGTGCTGGATTGCCACAATCCACAGCATGCTTTGCCACAATCCAGCTTAAATGGTGCCTTCTTACCTATTTAGTAAGACATTAGGATGGTCAGACAGAAAGTGCAATTGGGTTAGAGGAAGAGAGAGAAATGCAGCTTTATGCTGCTTTCTGTATAATACAGTTCCTTTCAGGGACCTTCACTCGAGTGAAGCTGGGATTCTTGACTGCATTGTCATAAAGAACTCTATCAATACAGAGCAAACCTGGGTTTTTATTATGTGTGTGTGTGTGTGTGTGTGTGTGTGTGTGTGTGTGTGTACATGTACATGCATGCGCCTTGGCATCCATGTGAAGCTTAGAGGACAACTTTACCTTCCACTGAGTTTGATGTAGGGTCTCTTGTTTGCCATTCCATACCTATAATTATCTAAGGATGTCTCTACCTCCTATTTTGTCATAGGTACACTGGGATTACAAACATGCACAGTTGTATTTGGCTTTACCTGTGTTCTGAGGATGTGAACTCAGGTCCTCAGTTGCAGGGCAAGCACTTTTACCCACTATAAGCCATCTTTTCAGCCCTGGAGTTTATTAAGAGATTTATTACGGTCAATCCACGTGAGTCTATTAAATGGGTAACAGAATTTATTAAGGTATAAATTGAGGAAATAAGCTCACGATTACAGAATGGAGTAGACAACAGAAGTCTGATCTGACCGGGAGCGAATTCACCTCATAGGCAGGAACAGGGAGAAGAGGCATGTGACCCTTCTCCAACTCCTTATAAGAAAGTGGTCACTACAAGGCAGGAAGCACAACCTCCTTTGGGCCATATAGCCCAAGATCATGGGTGGAGCAAATACCACCACAGAGATTTAAACATAAATTTAAGCATAGATATTAGCAAGAAATGCACTTCAGGAAAAGTATAGGCTTGTCAAGGGGGAGCCACACTTAATTGTTAAAACCTTTGTGACTTCTGAAGTTACATCTCCAACAGTTCATAAAGGACTCCTTTTCTCTCCATTTTAGTAATTGGGATCATGGGTTGTTTCCTGGGGTGCCTTGGATGGGATTAGAATGTCTAGCTGTTACAGACAGCAAGGTGTGGTCCTGAATTCTTCCATCCCGTCTTAGATCTCCATGCCACCCCATGCCTGGCAGGAATGATATTATGAAAAGACATGGATGTCTATCTCTTTGGCCGACAGACTATTGAAACAAATCAGAATTTTTCCAGGAATCTCATCCTGAGGCTGAGGATAACCAGAGGAGGAACTTGTCTATGTGAGAAACATTAAGTCTGACGTTCTACCATACTGTCAAGACAGGCACTGAGAGTAGGGAGGAGGGTGGACTATACCTCAGCCTTGGCTGGACTGCTTAGTTAAGCTTATTGCTGGCCTTCTACTTTATCCTGTTAGTAGGACCTGAAGATGGACTAGGGAACAGCCATCCCTCTTCCTAGTGTAAACCACATTGAATAAATCTTGTTCTGTTTTCTCCTCCCCTCTCCTCCCCCTCCTCCCCTCCCTCCACCTTTCTTTCCTTTCTCATACTTTATTTTTCTTTCGCAAGGTGTCTCTATTCTATAGCTCTGACTGTCCTAGAACTTGCTATATAGACCAGACAGGCTTCAAAATCTCAGAGATCCACCTGCCTCTGCCAACCAGGTGCTGGGATTTAGGTAAGGCATGTGCCACCATGCCTGGCTGCTTTTCACTATTAATTTAATTCTTGTTTTGTGGGAGGATGAGCAGCAGAGGCTGTTTCATTAGGGTAGTCAGGATACAGCCCTCATTCCTTAAACCCCACCTTTTCCTTCTCAAACTCCCCTTACTCCCCTTGTCCCTTCAGCCCTGGCTGCCCTCTGACTGTTTCCTGCTTCCTCCCTTTACCCTCTTAAGGAAATCCAACATGAAAAAAAAAAAAAACCCGGGTCCTTCCAGAGGACGTGGGAGACTAATGATAAAATCACCCCCCTCACGCTGATTACAGCCGGCACAGGAAAAAAAAATCCTCCAAAATGGCTCCAGAGGCAAACTCTCCTGGTAGAGACCACTCTCTCTGCCAGGATCCCTCTCTTCCCCCAAGCAGCGGCCTGGGCTCCCACCATGATGGGGTGGGGGAGGGAAGAGACACTGGCTGGGCTCCCATAAGGAAAAGAAACCCTCAAAAATAGCTCCAGAGGCAAACTTTCCTGCCGAGGCCACTCTCCCTGCCGGGATCCTCCCACTTCTCCCAAGCAGCTGCCTCGGCTCCCGCTGTGATGGGGTGGGGGGGGGGGGAGAGCTCAGGCAGCAGGTAACAGAAAGCTCTACAATGAGTCCTGTAGGCAAGGGCTGTTCCAGGGACCCAAAGCACCGCTGAGAGGTCTAGGCATAGGCTGCCTGTAAGCATCACGGGGCCTGAATGAAGCATGTTTGGAGGCCCCAGCTTGCTCAGAAAGCTGTGGAGTAGAGGCTTGGCTGCATGGGAATTAGGCATTGCCCTGTGCTAGGGCTGGCAGTGAGCACGGCGGCAGGTTCTGGCTGGGCTCCCATATGGACAAGGGGCAGAGCTGGCGGAAGCTAAAACCTGATCAGGATCTGGCTCCAAGAATAAAATGTCACTCCCTATATGAGGCTATGATGTAAAAGGTCAGTAAACTGTTTGTATGATTTCTTATACCTGCAAATACTGAATTTAAAAGTTAATTCTGGTTAATTTTCATCTTAAAAATGGCTAATGATTCTGTAAACTGCTTCTGTATATATATATATATATATATATATATATATATATATATATATATATACAGGTATGTGACTTGGAAATGTAAGCAAGCTTTAACTGTATGTATGTATATAACTTGGATCCAACTATATGTATGTGTGCAAATAATTATTGATTTTAAAAATGTATAAAACACCTAAGTACTTATGTCTTTACCAAGTATTCAACAGCAAGTTTCTAAAAAATTTAAATAGATAACAACATATGTTTAATAAATAAAATGTTTGATAAATATTAAAGCTACACATCAATGCTTTTACACAGGAATATACCTTGCTCTGACAGCTAAACTTTGTAATTTAAGATTTACCCATGTAAAATAATAATAATTTTAAAAACATAAAAGGATCATAAAGAACAGCTAAGGTTTACAAATATATGGCAGGATTTAAAGTTTCAAAAAGAGTCTGGTTGCAGTGATAGACCTTAGCAGTTTAAAAAAAAATGCCGCTGTCAGATGATAATCACCAAAATGCACCAGCCATAATAAAATAAAACAGACAGGCTATGTATGTGCTGCCAAAGTTAGGGTCAAAGAAATCATCCAAGCCTCTGAATAAAGGAACCAAAAAGATTATAAATGAGTCCTAGATATTAAACTTTAAGATTGTTTGTACTCTGGAGCTTGGTTTTACTTTATGCCATGTTTTCTCCCCCTTAAAGTAAAAAAGGTACTTTATTATTATTACAAAAGACATTTGAGAGGTCTTAATCTTTTAAAAACAGTTTTTATAGTTAAAATGTTTCTCCTTACCCAAGGTACATTCAGGTTTAAAAATGTTGTCTAGCCTCCTTGTATTTGCTAAGTTTGTTAAACTTAAGTTATGTAGATAAGCTGATACATATATTGACATTTTTTGTTTTGGTTTCTTTACTGAACCTGTATTTGATGCTAAAAGA